AATATGCGTTTTTGCTGCCTGTTGCAGCGCTCTAGCGCTGCACGGCAAAAACGCATAAAAATGGGAAATCCAGCCAGAGGGTGTCAAAATTATGCCAAAAAATTTTTTACTAATTCGATGAAGAATTTAACAATAAGTCATTTGGAAAGTGCTAAAGTGCTGTAAAAAACCGAGAGGAATCTTATGTTAAAGAAAATGATGAAACTGTTAAATACAAAAATTGTCGGTCGGAGGTGAAGGTCCGGCGGCCGATAAATGGTAAGCATATTTTTCGAATAGACTGTGAGCAATAATTTAAATAAATTAGACATGAGAAAGCTGGATGAGGTCATCGACCGGCGGCTGAGATCCGCTGGTCAGCAACCGGCAATAATATTTCACATATATCTTCATTAAACCTCTAATTTTCTTTTTTTGTGCTACTTCGCGACAGTCCGGCAACCAACAAATATTTATTCAGATAAACTGAAGTAATACTCAGCACCATGCAGCGCTACCTATAGCTCTCAACACTTCCTCACACTCATAACAAAACACAAAATCCAAGCTCCGGAGGTTCCCCCCGCCCTGATACTCGAATGAAATACCAATGTCACATTCATTCGTTCTGCCTTATATGCGCAGAGCATCTGGCGAGTGCTTGCCTACTCCATTCTCTGCGCCATTCCGATTACAACAATAACGAGTGCCAACCAAAAGTAAGCTTCCGCCCGTGCAGAATTAAGACCACAGTGTTTGTTCCGCGCAGCCTATGGTACCCCGCCACGACACACTTGACTGCATCCGCAAACCCTCCCCTCCCCCTCGGCACAATTGACCTTCCACTTGCCAGGTGTGCCACCATCTCGATAATGGTCCTTTGCCCTACTCTCCCTCCCTCTCTCCTTTGTTTATAGCTCCTCATTTCTAACATTGTTTACCACTGATAAAAGAGCAGTGCCCCGCCCAAAGACCACATGGACCATAGCCACGCCATCTGGTTCTCCTCATTCCTACGCTCCTTCCCTCGTTCGCCAGCTGTTGCTTGATGAGGGAGCGAACCTCATTCATGAGTGACAGGCGCCTCTTTCTAGTCATTGTGACATTTTTTTTACCACTGCGATCGGTGGGATGTGCGTTCGTGAACGTTGGTTGCAGGTGGTTTCTTGTCATTTCGGGGGGTTTGTTGTGGTGGATTACACCTAACTTGGTGCTAATGTTTTTGAACGCCCTTAAATTGTCTTTTATAGCTTATAGCAGTTTCACGCATTTGGTCATGAGTTATGAAATAAATAAACCCAGGCTGGAACGCACCAGACGGGCCGGTGCGATCATGCGTTTTTGCATCAAGCTTAAAGTAATTAGGTTAACTGCATGAACGGTTATTTCTTCACACCCACCTTCTGCACTCAGCACCGTGAATAATCGTAAATTTTGCATAAACGGAAGTAAACAATTTCTGTTCAGCGGTCGTTTTTTTTGAAAATGATCCAGCTGTCCAGTCAGAAATTTTCCCGCCAAAAATTTAAATGCCCGTACACGAGAATAACGCGCACCCTGGGGGCTAAATTTGAGAACTTTAAGTTGTATTTGGATGGGGAATATTCTCCTAAAATCTCAGCTTCCCAGCTTTTCTGGTTCCCAATTTAACCATTTTCCTGCCAAAAAATTTCACGGAGCCATACGCGAGAACCGCGCATGCTTGGGGCTGGGTTTAATAACTTTAAGTTCTACATTGGTTGCGGACATTCCCTTAAAATTTCAGCTTCGCAGCTTTTCTCGTTCTCGAGTTAGCCGTTTTCCTCCCCAAAAAATTTCACGAGGCCGTACGTGAGAACCACGCATACCTGGGGGCTGAGTTTGATAGCTTTAAGTTGTGCATGGACCAGGAAGATCCCATAAAAAATCAACCTCTCAGAAAATTTCTACGAAGCCAGACGTGAGAACCATGCATGCCTGGTGGCTGAATTTAATAATTTTAAGTTGTGCATGGGCGGGAAACATCCCCTTAAAATTTTGGCCCCCTAGCTTAATTGATCCTTGAATTAGCCATTTTCACGCCAAAAAAGTCCACTGGGCCGTACGTGCGAACCCCACATGCCTGGGGGCTGAATTTGGTAAATTTAAGTTATACTTCCCTTAAAATTTCAGCCTCCTGGCTTTCCTGATTCCCATATTAGCGATTTTCATGCCAGGAACCTTCACGGGGTCGTGAGAACCACGCGCACCTGGGGGCTGAATTTGAAATCTTTGAGTTATGTGTGGACGGGGAACATGACCTCAAAATTTCAGCTTTCTGTCTTTTCTCGTCCCCGAGTTAGCAATTTTCCCGCCAAAGCTTTCACCTTTTCGCATACGGAGCTTAGACATGCGAGAGGGTTGGTACCGCGGCTCTGGTACTTGGCCAGGAAACCCCCTAGCAAAATTTTTGGCGCCGGAGTTTACTTGATTGCCAAGTTGAAATGCCGGGACAGACGAACACACACACAGAAAGGGTCATCGCAATATGCTTTTTTGCAATTTGCATATAGGCAAAAACGCACAAAAAGTGCGTTTGGGAGAAGTCATACGCTTGCCAAGTATTCCGGTGCTGCAGAAAGGCAACTTGAGGGTAGCTAATATTCCTGGAACATTAGTCCACGGTCATATGCAATTTCACGAATCAGAAATCAGCTTGCAGTGCTCTCTGTTCCTTGACCTCTATCCTAGGATTTGACACTCGGCGAATCTTGCAACTGAATGAAACAAAACTTTTGAGCCTTTAGTTAGCATGTATTTTGAGTCATCTTAAGATTACTTTTCAGAGCTTACACTATTCTCCCCCACTGAAAGCAAGCTTAAATAAGTTGAATGATCTCGTAACTTGGAAGTTTGGCCTTTCCGCCCGCAGCGCAAGTGTATTCTTTCTGTCCACTGCGCAAATATCTACATGGCTAACCCGGGACCAGCTTTCTAGCCGTATTGCTTGCCATTCAGGCTCAGGTTCAGCCTGAATGGCTCAGGTTCCCTTCGCATTCTGAGATTGGTACGGGCTGCAAAAATTTCGAAAATTTCTAAATATTGTTTGTGAAATAATGCATGCTACTGAATGAGCTAAAATTGTCCTGATTTGTGATCTCACATGCAATCTGGAACTGTAAAACGAGGACGAAACTTTTCGTGCGGCGAGTGGACCAAAAAAACATCGCACAAACTTTTGTATGCTTTGGAGCACTATGAGCCTTTAGCAGCAGCAGCAGCAGCTTATCGCAAAAACACATCACCACTCCGGCCAGTAATTTGCAAACATTACTGCTGCTTTCAACTGAATTGTTAGCTCTGTAGCTCAGTTTGATGTTTCCGGTCTGATCTCTATTCGATTCAATTTAGCTCATTTTCGGGTAATGTGCTTAGTTCGACTTTTCCGCACAGCACCAGAAATGGACACGGCGTAACTGTTGTAGTGGGCGAAATTCCTGATTTCCCCACGATTTGAACAGCCATAATACTTGTTTGGCTGCTCCTTCCACAGTTTGTTTTCATTGCGAAGTGTTATTTGTAGAGCATGTATTGGCATACGCTTAGAAGCACGCACTCTCGGTTGTGCTGAGGTACTGTAAGGATGTTCTTTCGTAATCAGTAAAGCTGAAATTTCCGAAGTGTAATGCATATTTGAGCGACAAAGTGCTCTAAACACAAAAACAGGCAAACTCCGCCGAATTAAAATGCGAGACAAAGCGGGCGGTTGAATTTTAGCAGGCGATGGGAGGGCAGTTTGTTCACTACGGTGTGAGGTATCCAGGAGAAGTTCCGTGGGACCTCGGTTCTGAGGTGTGGGGCGGTCGAATTTAAGTAGACGATATGAAGTACTTTGAAAATAAAAATAGACTGAGAGTTTGCAGGGGAATTCAACAAAATTTATCTTGATGTGTGAGGGAAAAGTGCACACAACTGGTGCGAGATTTTCGAACTCTTGTCAACTAGGCAAATCGAACGGGCGAACTGACAGTTCCAAAGGGTTTTCCAAACGCCCTGCAAAATACTGGGATGCAATGCGCTGAATGTGCTGACATGGAGTGCACGTGAATAGCATGCGCCCACCTTTACCGCCGAATTTCGTGGGAGCTCTTTTTACCGGATGTTTTGAAGAATTTCCTGGGCGCCTCTGTCGTCCTTTGCTGGTCTCTGCCCTTCCAGTATTAAGAATCAGGGCTGATTGTAGGATTCAGTGAGGGTGGCCCTTGACCGTCCCAAGCTACAAAACTTCGTTTTACTAGCTGCATTGAGGGCGATTTATACAGGGAATGTTTGAAGCATTAGTCACCAGATGAATGAGTGGTACTGCCATCAATTGGCCTTTTTTCTTCGCAGACCATTCCGTCATCAGTTTTTAAAACGCTGAAATGATGTGTATTGCGATGAGGTTTTCTAATTTTTTTTTTCTTTTGTCCCCCTCCTTCCCACTCCATGCATTCCTCGTTCTCTCCTCATTTGCCTCTTTCTCCTTGCGGCAAAAAAATTAAATTTTGCAGTGAATTGATCCTGCATTTTGCGCACTGTTCCGCGTTCCTGATTCTCTTCCCTCCGCCCGTCTCTGTTGCTGCTATCTTTCGCAGCGCTGCGTATTGAGGAAATTCATTGCAGCTGTTTTTCGGCGATGAGCTTTTCTATAAGTAATTAGGCACTGCAGAATTGAAAATGGCTGCTGTGGTGAAAACGCCATGCTGAGAGCCTGGTCCGGGCTAGGCTGATTTATAGGTCAGGGATTGCTATTCAACGACAGCGGAAATGGAAGTGATTTGGGACGTCGAAGGACTTTCGCATTCGACTTTGCGAAATGCTAATCATATCGAAATGATTTTGCCGCTGCTCGATGCGATGGAGGTGGCAAGTGTTCCACGCTTATTTGCTGAATGCAGCAATTTTGCTGCCGCGATTTTCATTGTCGTCATCGATATCAAAGAGCATTTTAAATGAAGCTTGCTTTGTTGGATTTTATAATGCAAAAATGCATAATAATTTCTCGTCTAAAGCACGTTTTTAAAGAACAAATTCCTTGGGAGCGATAGATGGCCAGCATGAACGTACTGTTTTACATTTATCGCCTGAGGACGGTTTTTTTGGGCTGACGTCTCCTGACCGGCTTGAACCCAGGTAGCAACGCGCGCCAGGCTTGCTGATGTGAACATGGTTTTTGTACGAACCATGAAGCAATCAAGTTCTTGGCAGTGTGGTTGTTGCTTTACAGTTTAACATGTGTACTTATGCTGGCTATTTTTTTGCCTCTTGCATGTGGGTGGAGAATGGTTGTCGACCGAAACGATAGAATTGCTTCGTAAGGCTGCGTGCAAACTTGATTCTCAGCATATTACGGTGAATTTTGTATATAGATGCTGTCGACATAGCCTTCTTATGTTTGCCGTTTCCGTATACGAGACATAGGCATTTGTGAGATCTGACTGTACGCTTTTAGTGATGCACAAAATACACCAGCTCATAAAATTTATGCTTTCTCGGTTATCTGATTACCGAGAAAGAGGGGTGACAAAAGTGTTGTAGTTCGAACATGTCTGCACTCAGGGTTCATACAAAAACAGGAGCTAATTTTAAGCTTACAGGCTTAGATATGGATAGTAAACATACTCAAAAGCTAGTCAGTCTAGTAAAGTTGTGCTAAATTTACCCGAAGTTCAAACTTATGCATAACGGGAGGTCTAAGGGTGCCCAAAGCTGGAATGAAAATTTCTGGTTTAAAAATTTCTAGCTGTATTGAAAATTGCTCTTGCCTTTCTGCGGTCCTGCTTGCTCCCATCTCGATGTATTTCTTAGGCCATAGCCATTTGCTGTCCGACGGCTCAGGTCGGTCCATACAAGTTCATTCTTAGCCCGTTTTGCCGGAAAATTTTCATCCTCCGAATTTTTTTTTGCCGCATACTTTTGTCTGCGGCTTGTGCTGTGCTTCTTTTTTCTTTTGATAAATTGTTTTGTTGTCGGTTCTCGTTACAAGCATGCCAATAAAAACTGTCCATTGGCGTTTAAACGGGGATATTGCCTGCACTGGACACGCGTTCGTATTGAAACTGCCCTAAGTGTCGACCAGGCTTCATAATAGGTCTCATACCTGAAGTCGTGGCACGGCATCTCATCGGGCTTCGGGTAGTGCATTTGTACCATTGTTACGTGTAGACTTTACAGGCACCGGTTTTCTCGCTTGGTTTGACCAGAGGAATTTCCAGTGTCTTGTTTTTCTGACCGTTTGGGTATTTAGGTGTAGGATTTGACCTAGGGTTACGCTCAAGCTTGTTCCACAGCACGAGAGTGGCTAGCAAGGCTGGATGTTCCAGCTGTCAGAGCCTAAACTGTTCCGGTATTCATTCGAATTACTACTACTGCGCGCTATTTACTGGTTCCTGGGGGTCGGGGAAATCCAGTCCTCTCACTTGTCTTCCGTGCAAGCGTTTATCTCGTTTGTCAAACAGAAGTTGTTACTGTACTAGAAGGACCAAAGCTTGTATCATATTCTTGCAAAGAATTATGCTTTAGCTGTTTCTCGCTGGAGCCGGGAAGGGCAGGGATATTGAAATGTGCTGCGCAATGCCATATCTTATTTTACGGACTCGTTCTGTGGAAACTGATATGATATTTGTTAAAACTCAAGTGACTGCATCCGTCCCCCGGTTACCGTCAAGTTCTGTGCAAATGCAAGCAAGCTTGCTCTTTTGCAGCAGTTTGACGAATGGTGAAGGAAGAGATGGCTGCACAAGCGAGTGGTGGACGTCGTATGGTGTTTTATCCTGTGCGAAACGTTGAGCACGCTGG